TAATGATGATGATGATAATATGTAACTTGCAAAAGGTTTTTAAAGTTATGTGATATATGCAATTGCTAAGAAAGAAACATATAGATTAGTTTCGATTATACCAAAATGATAAAATAGATAGATTGATTCCGAATGAAGAGAGAATTAAAAATATATTATAATTGTAATACTAATAATATTTATAATTACTTGACCTATAGGCTAACTCACAATTCAGGTTCATACACTTTCAACCCGTAGCCCGTATAATTTGACTCGTTTTGATTTACATTTTAATCTCTTTAAAGTAAGGCTGGATACAACAATCCAACAGACTCAACTCATTTTGACTGTTGTAATATATTGTATATCCTGATAAATATGTTGTATAACAATAAAAAATAAGTTGATATATTCAATCTATTTTAGATTTATATCATGTTAGGTTTATGGGAGCGAAAAGAAATTTGTGTTGTTTTTTCATACAAGCATTGCTTTTTATAAAATCAATTAATTAATGAACTAAAAAGATATTATTTAATATATGTGTATTAGATTTTTTATCTTAAATTTAATAGGAATAAAATATGAACTAAATATTTTGGATTTTTTTAAAAAAAAAAACCTAAGTTAATTATATTTAAAATAAACTAGATTTCATAATAGTTTAGAAAAGAACAAGAACAAGAACAAGTTGTCTACGGTATTCGAATAAAATAACCGCCCGCTTTACATCTCAATCATTTTGCTATAAATGTAAACTTATAAAAATATAAATAAAGGTACTTCTATAGACAACAAGATCATTTATAATTCCGAACACATAAAATAACTCATATTCGACCTGATGGTGTGATACAATGTCAAAGTAAAATAACCCGCCACCGAGGCTTCTATAAACCCAACCGACGCACAAATAAAATAGATCCAAGTACACCATGAATTCAAAATTTCTATCCTACCAAAAACATAAACTTTAACTTACTTTTTGAACTTCGCTTTGGGAAGGTCTTTTTTGACATCTCGAGCAAAAACAAAGCTTTAGACAATGAATAGAGACTTCTGACAGCAGATAAAGTTCCTTTGAGAAGGCTCGGTGGTGATTATTTCGACGGGGGCTTCGACAACGAGGGAAACATACGAGGAGAAGGATTTGGAATAGATATAACATCAACGACTCAGATAGTGGGTTCTATAAGGGTTTTATTTTGTTTTTGAGTTTAAATTTCTGTAACTGATTTTAGTACATAAATAAAAATTTCACACACATAACTTTGACATTTTTTGGTACAGCAAGATAATTTTAGAATACGTAAATAGATAATGTAGGTTTATATAAAAATAATGGGAGTATGTACAATATTCGTTATATTATATGATAATTTGAAAGGTAAAATGGGTATTTGGGAGTGAAGTGTATATGAAAATAAAAAATAGAGAGTGCAGTCAAAGTACAAACCTATGAGGGACTGAATCTAAATGTTTTTAACGTTAGAGATTTTAAGAATTTTTAAATTTTTGCATTTTAAGTGTTCCAAAAAAGTCCAACCGATTTCCCACGGCTAAGATATAAATTTCTACATTTTATAAATGCAAAATTGTCCATAACTTCTCTATAGTTTCGAAACTCAAAAAATCCTCTTGTATTTTAAAAATTGTATGATGGTGCAGGTTGAATGCATTTGAGAAGTAATGAACAGAAAATGAGTTCAGTATTTTCAAATGTGCATGCTCTGATGTTTTTCAAGTAATAGTGTAATGCACCGTAAAAATAATTTCCAGACTGAAACTTACCGGAGTCCGAGCCGAAGTCAAACAAATTTTATTTTGGGGCTTAATGTGTTTTGTGTGTGCGATGTTTTAAGGAGTTGAAGAGGTCTAATTTGAGTATGGTAGTAAATGAGTTTTGTTTTGGCCTATTTTGGGGCAAAAAAAAAGAAAAATGAAAACAAATAAAGCCCATGTCTAGTTAGAGTGCAGAAATAGCAAGCAACGTGCTCTCTTCATTCCAGCCGCGAGCAGCTTTTCCACTTCTTCTTCTTTGAAGGTGTTCTTCTCCAAATATTCTTCCATTGGTTTGTTCTTCTAAGTTAAGTAGAATGATTCCGAGTTAAGTAATATGATATATATTCTAGACTTATTTGTTGGTTTTATATGATTTTTTAAATTATTTTCAATGAGTTTGTTCTAAAAGTGTTAATTTTGCCAAAAATTTTTAGAAAGTTGATTAGGATGTTTCTGGGGCTTATGTAAAGATTACTATGGTGCTTTAAGTTGAAAAACGTAGGATTTGTGAAACGGGTTGGAAACCATAATTCGGCCCTAACCTAGTTTATGATTTTTTTTAGAATGATCTGTGATTTTCTTTAAATACTATGATTTTTTGAGTTAGATTATGTTTCTTCGAATAGACATGTTGTCCAAATGATTGTTTGGCAAAATAATGTCAGACTTTTTCATGAACTTATTGAATGTTAATATTTTCATTCTTGCTTTAGTTATTAAATAAAAATGTTGACAGAAAGTAAAAAGTTTTTTACGAGAAAACTTGAAAAATTTTATTTAGTTTTCGCTTATGTTGCAAAGTAAGATTCTTCGCTGATGCCTTTATTGCCTAGTTGGCTAAATATTTATAAACAAGATATTCGAGTTGAAATCCATTTTATTAGAATTTGTCTAATCGTATGTTGAGTATTTGGTCAAATAGTTAATTGGAACTATTTATCGAGTCTGATCACCTCGTTGATCATATGTAATGATAAGACGTAGCCTTTCACCTTTTTGTCTTGCAAACATGTGAGGGTATACCGATATTTTAGAATAACTAGCTAATTTGACCTAGACCCCGAATGGGCTAAGTCGTGGCATGGTGATGGCGAGTTTCCTTTTGGGTGATTCTGAGGTGCAGATCATTCATGATGAAATAGTCTTTAGACCGTCATCCGTGATGGAGGAACGTATTGTGTATAATCCCCTCTTGGTATGTTATATATGAAACTAGAGGGTTTAGCCGTTGTGCGCTATCACAAACTAATGAATAACTTGTCATATATGTACTTTGGGTCTCGAACCACCCTTATGTATCATTTGTGAAGTTCCTTGAGGGTTGTGATTCTATATTTGCTATGTGTATTTGTGTGAAGTGTTAAACAAAGTAATAAGGTTGGTAAACCGGGTTAAGCTGGCCCTAATTAAGGCCTAGTGGATTTTTTCTTTGTGATGTATTCATTACAATTATTTAAGAATAAAAGGAAGATATAAGAGACAATAAAAGACTTGTATGTGTGAGTTGTCATTATGTGATATGTGCATTGGCATGCGAGTCTTTGCATATATCGTATCAATTTACCTTTGAATTATTGTGCTTACTCAACTTTCGTATTGATCCTCTTTCTATAATTTTTTTTGTAGGTGACGGTGTTTCTGTTATGCCTAAATGATGTATCCACGTTGCATGATCCATTAGGGGAAAATAGAATTATCACGTCTAATAGGATGCTTATAAATTTACTACTAATGTTTTAAGAATGAATGTCTTTTGAACTAACTTCCGACTTATGTTTTGACTCGAACATTATTTAATTATATGATAAGCTGGTGTGTTATATATTTTAACTTCTATTTTAACTGTTGTGTTGGGTATCTTAGCCTTAACGCTACAACCTAAAACTCGTTGGTTAATGAATGACCCTTTTGGTATGGCGTGGCGGTTCTACTCGAGCTTGAGCCAACCAGGGCATTACAGATAGAGAATCTCATATTTAGGAGGCAGTCTTCCGGGAACATCCCGGATTACAAGGATGTACTTGAAAAAAACATGGCTTTCATACAATCTAATCTAACAGATACGTCTAAATAATAATCACCAAAACTAATTAATATTAATCAAAATATCTATTTAAAATATAACTTAGCAATAACAATAGTGAGTGAGCATCATCTTGAAGGAGAGGTATTTAATACCAAATCAAAAGTTTATATTTGTTAAAATATATTTAGAAGTAATATATTATATTTATGGTAGTTATTTTATTTAAGAGATTTGTAGGATTCTTGTCTTATTTAGACGATTTGTATATCACTATAAATATGTACGTATTCTAACATGGTATCAAAGCAAATTCTCTCCGGATATCTCCATGACCCGTTATATCCCGTATATATATTTATATTTTATTGATGTATTTGCTTCTATTCACGATCATGCTATCATTTTCATGCCGTCTACGTCTCTACTATTCGATTTCCATTGAAAGAGTTCTACTTTCAACTCTAATGCCGTTGAGAGTCCTGTTTCCGACTCTAACTCTATTGTGAGTGAGCGAGCCCTGTTTCCGGCTCTAGCTTTGTTGTGAGCGAAAGAGTCTTGTTTCCGACTCTATCTCTATTGTGAGCGAGCGAGTCCTGTTTCCGACTCTAGCTCTATAGAGTGAGAGAGTCGTGTTTTTGGCTCTTGTTCCGTTGTGAGCGAGCGAGTCCTGGTTCCAACTCTAACGGTGTTAAGAGTTCTGCTTCTGACTCTATCCAGTGGACCGCTACACTACTTTCAGTCAATCTTGGCGAATTCAAATTCGTACGTGGAAGATCTCGGCTATATCTTTTTCGGTCACTTTGTTCCATCATATCTTTGAGTTTGAGGAGAGCTGTTAAAATATATTTAGAAGTAATATATTATATTTATAGTAGTTATCTTATTTAAGAGATTCGTAGGATTCTTGTCTTATTTAGACGATTTGTATGTCACTATAAATGTGTACATATTCTTACTATTGAAATAAAAAATTTCACTTTCATATTCTAACAATATTTATTCTCCTCTCACACTCCCTGCACCTAGTGAGCAGTACTTTTCACCGTTCTCATGTGAGTTTCATGATGGTGAGTGGTCTTATGAGAAATATTTTTAGTGTAAGGAATAATTAAATCTGTATAAACTTTATATATATATAATTTATGAAGATGTGCTTTATTAACATATTGAAGCGAGTGGGTTTGAATGAGAAATGGTAGCTTGTTAGAGCCAAATAAAACCAGCACATAAACTATAATAACAATAGATTGTATCCATAGTAAATAATGTTATTCAAGTTCAATCATATGATACAAATCACCCGCATACATGGGAAGAAATAGGACTTTTAAGTATCAGACACAATACAATAGTATGATATCTTGGGCGGGTGGGTTGGTTCAAATTTTATAGAATTGTAGATCATACTTTGTAAATGTGGTAGAGAGCATAAGCATGTGGTTTATAGTAATTGACCACATCCTGTAGCGCTTGTAGTCACACATCATGTCCAGTTTAATCACGCCCTTGTTTGTTGTAAGTACAATGTAGTAACCGGTTTCGATCTCAGTTTCTCCAGCTGCTTCTGAGTCTTCTTTGTATAGCTCGGCATGCATGTCGAGGACAGTATCTATACAAGTTTCAATATATTATACTATTAAACATGTTTGCTCTTTGAACTTTATCAACTATATTAATATTAGCATGGAAATGGAGGGATGCTACTGTGAGAAGATAGAGATTTGTGGTGGGAAATTCTTACATTCCTTTTGTCTGGTGAAAGGATTCATCAAGTTGATTTTCTTCAGCTTTAGAACAACCTGTATTATTATTATATGGACATGATGTTGAGATGCTTGATTTATTTGGTGTTTGAAATGAAACAGAGCATTGTTTTCGGAAAAGGTTGAAAAGCATTCTTACCTTCCCTTCACTGGTAAGGGTGACTGTCACTTTCATCAGTAAGTTCCTTCCTGTTCCAATATAAATTATTAAATTGAAAAGAGGTTAAGCATGTGGGAAGTTGTCACTCAGTTGATTGATGTTAAACAAATAAACATTGCAGGACAAATTCGTGAGTACTGTTTTACTATGTTGGCGTTAATGTTAATCGATTATGATGATTCCATACCATCGGCTGTCTCAATATTGAGCTCTGCACCTTTCTCCAGAATCGATCTGCAGTTATCAAAGTCGAAATCAGGTTCAGGCTCGTTATTATCCTCTAGCGGCAGCACCGGAGAACTCCCGTTTAATCTGGTTTTGTATCCTGATCTGGCTTTCAGAGTATCGGCTCCTCTTATTGCTGCAACAAAATTGATTCGACTAATATAATTATTACTTAGGTGTGGTATTCACCTTGATACAATAACAACTAATATGATGCCTGTTACAAATAATAGTTGGATAATAATATTCATTGATTGATATATTTTAGAAAATTGGAGCAGAAGATTGATATGATAGCTTACAAGTTGCAGCAGAGGCTGTTAGTGTTACGATCTCACTAGCGCTAGTCCCAGTGATGGCCGAGCCTATTATAGTGCTGAGCTGTTCTCTTTTGGCTCCCATTGCCTCGGCCACCTTAGCACATTGTGCAGCCACTAAGGCAGCGGCAGAAGCGACGGCAGAGTCTTTGGTGGTGGTGTTCTTGCCACTATGCTGTGAATTTTCGGCTGCTATGGCTGCTAGGGCAGCTGCAACACCTGCAACAGATATTGCTGCATGTACTTGTGCCTTCTCTATCCTTTCATCCTCTTTTCTTTTCTGTTTTATTTCTTTCAGCCATTTCTTTATTGATACATGCTTAAATGGTGCAAGCTTCCATGGGATCTGAATTATTTTTAATTAATGTTATTAATACACTACTATCTTATATATGGTTAAAAGATTGATTAGCATATATATATATATATATACCAGAGCTTACCCATTTTTTCCTGAAGTAGCTACTGTAATTTACTTCTGGGTGCATTGCTTGTTGCATCCATATCCATGACTGAGGAGACAAAATTATGCAATGGGCATTGTTTGATTAAATGAAGAATATATATATATATATATATGTTTCTGTAGTTACCTTTAAATCGTTTGCTTTCCATGGAGGGACATACTTATTTCCATCGTCCATGTTTGCACTCTTATCCATCTTCTGCAAATTCATGTCTATGCTGTGTAAAAAATTGTTTTGTTTTTGCTATATGTATATATATAAATGTCCTTATGCATAGGTACACATGTGGTTCAAAATTAAACAAACTAACAAAGGGTAGAGATGGATAAGAAAGAAACTTACAGTAGAGGGTGGTGGTGTGTTCTTGATTGATTTGTTGTCCTGAACTACAATGGAGGAGTGTTGATGTGTGTCATCTTGGAAAGCATGAAGTGCAAAGTTACACCAGGCACTGGATAGAAAATCCATGCTCTCCGGATGTGCTTGAGAGAGCGTGCACTCGGGATCCATCTTCGCTAATGCCATCACATTAATTCACTACCTCTGCTGTTCCTCAACAAGGTGTAACTAATACATTTTTGCTTGCTCCTCTTCCACAATTATATTATGAATAGCAATAGCAGCATATGGCCCATAAAGTTATTGATCTGTAGCTGTATACTGACTGACTGAGTGATATAAAAAAAAACTCCTAAAATGAGGGGAACAAGAGAAGCCCACCTGCATCATTACATGAGGTTGGATCATCCCTCTCCCCTCCCGTGTGCTGCTGCTGCAATTATCTATATATATTTGCATGTGTGCTTTGAGATGGAACTAATTTCTTTATGTCATCTCACTTTAAATTAGGCTCTTTATTCTGAATTTATATATTATTCCAACTTCTATTCCATTTCAAACCTTCCTACAGTACTAATAATAATACTGCTGCTGTTGCTACAAATCATTACAATGATAATAATTCCGAATTATAAAGAAAATTCTTCTAGAGTGGGAACCGATACCTTACAGGCCATAGGCTTCTTTTAATTAAATTAAATATATGAAATTTAGCATAGAGGTCCCATTAACAATTGTTCATTTATTTGAGATAAGTAGATTTGATTTGCCTCAAAATAGTGAATGGGAAGCAACATTTGCTGGCCACTCACAAAGCACCGTGCATACTTAAATAACAATCTTGATGAGAGGAGATAAGATTGGTGTTTTATGGCCCTCATCTTTTGTAGCCTTTTAAATTTTGATTCCAGAAACTCTTGCTATATAAGCTCGAGCAAATATATTATATATATATATATATAACATAAATTAATGTCACAATAGCTGTCCGGGGCCATGCCTGTGATGGTGCATGAAACTAGATGATTGATAAAGATTTTGCATAATATACAATTATATATATATATACACTTGCAAATTTTATTTAGAGGGTGGAGATATTACAAATAGAGCGAAAACATTTTAAACCCATATAGGAGGAATACGCTGTCATAATCTTACATTAAGTTTTTAAAAAGCTTACATAGTAAGGCCTTGATTTATTGCATTTAATTTTTGGGGTTCGACAAATAAGTATGACACTTATTAGTAAAGTATAAGAAGACTTTTGGGATTCCATTAAGAAAATAAAAAGTAAAGGTGTCTGTATTAAAGTTGGGGGCATTGTATATTTGTTACGTACGAAATTTAGAATTAGGTTAAAAGCCCAAGGTAAAACGAGGAATGGGCCTGGCTATAGGGTTGATTGAGCTGGCTGAAGGACACCGTGAGGAAATCAAGGAAAATAAATTTATTTATTTATTTCTAAGAAAAATTCAGGACGGAAGGTCTTCAGGTCGAGAGGTCCGCAAGACGGAAAGACCTCAAGTCGGAAGGTCTTCAGGTCGGGAGGCCCTCAAGATGAAAGACCTCAAGTCGGACGGTCTTCAGGTCGGGAGATCCGCAAGACTGAAAGACCTCAAGTCGGAAGGTTTTCAGGTCGGGAGGTCCGCAAGACGGAAAGACCTCAAGTCGGAAGGTCTTCAGGTCGGGAGGCCCTCAAGATGAAAGACCTCAAGTCGGACGGTCTTCAGGTCGGGAGATCCGCAAGACGGAAAGACCTCAAGTCGGAAGGTCTTCCGGTCGGGAGGTCCGCAAGACGGAAAGACCTCAAGTCGGAAGGTTTTCAGGTCGGGAGGTCCGCAAGACGGGAAGACGATGAGTCGGAAGGTTTTCAAGTCGGGAGGTCCTCGAGACGGAAAGTCGTTGAGATGGGATATCCGCAGGTCGGGTAAACTGTAGGTCGGATAGAAGGAGGAGTCGGACAAACACGGAGGCCTTTGATCAAAGACAGGGGGCGGTTGATATGGAGGTCGGCCCAAGTGGGGTCGGGCGAAGAAGTAGGTCGGACGAAGGACGAAGTCGGGCCAAAAGAGCGGAAGGTCTGTGGTCGGCTCAAGGAGTGAAATATAGGGAATTTTGGTCTGCTGGGGACACGTGTCAGCATAAGAAAGGTTGGAAGACGGTTGAGAAGGAGACGTTGTAACCGTTCGGGTGACGGTTTTCAGTACGGTTTCCCAGGGAATATTTAAGGATTTGGATCATCATTTGGCAAGGTATCTTCAATCAACTTCAACAAAGCAAAGTCAGATTTGGGGATCACCACTTTAAATTTCAGTCTTTTATTTTCCAGTTTATTTTCTGTACCGTACAGTGTTTAGAGATTCCTAATCTCAGGCACTAATTAATCAAGTTTAAGGATATTTTCTATATCTTTGAATTTTACTTTATTTTTGTTGAAAAAAAATACATCAACAAATTGGCGACCACAGTGGGAGCAAGACAAAATTGCTCATTCCAATTCCGGCGATAATTTCATACGTCTTAGATCCGGCCGAATCATCGGAAGGGTCCATATGGCAGGGTCACAACCGCAAGCATCTTCGACACCGGTGGGAGAATCCGTTCCACCACCCATTGTGCCAAATGCCGGGGAAATCCCACAACCACCAACTGATTGGTGGTCTTATGTTCAACAAATGAACAACCAGCATACCTTGGTTATGCAGAATATGTTGCGTGAGCAACAAACGAACATGTTGCGTGAGCAACAGAGTCAGTTGCAGAACATGATAGATCAAGCATTGTCAAGGGTTAGTCTTCAACCCACTCAAACGCCACCAGGAGTGTCACCGTCCAGACCACAGGCAAATTTCGCAGGGCCATCATTCGTGGATAGTACATTCCCAAGTGCCACAAATCCCAACCGAATGGATCGGGGAAAAACTCCTTTGACTTTTCCCAACAATGTTCCACTGGGACCAAGGGTTACCAGTTCGCAGCCGAACAATACAAGGGAGGACAGGCCTGAAGGATATATACATGATCCGATTCATATTCCTGTGCAGGATCCGTTCCAGGTTCCTGATCATCAACGCTTTCATGTAGATCCTGATGAGATTGCACATATATTAAGGGATCAGTATGGATTAACTCCTCAGATGGCTAACCGCCCTGCATATCAAAGACCTTTCCCAGAAAGGATCATTCATGAACACCCTCTCCCAAGGAATTTTCGACCACCCGACTTTCATGCATTCTCAGGGGAGGACGGATCTTCCACCATAGAACATGTTGGTCGGTTCACAGCACAATTAGGAGAGGTTGGCAATAACCCTCTTTTTATAAGTTACAGCTGTTTGGTTTGTCTCTTACCAGAACGGCGTTTTCATGGTTTGTAAGTCTACCTCCTGGACAAATTCAGACATGGGAAGGATTGGAGATGGCATTTCACGCTAGATTCTTTAATCCTTTACCAGTTGTTTCTTTAACTGATTTACTTGAATTGAGACAGTATCCAGAAGAAACTGCTTCACAGTTTATAGAAAGGGTGCGATTGATGAAGGGACGATGTCCTACGGTAATCAGTGAGAAAGAGATGACCAATTTAGTGGTCCGGAATATGCATAATCGTTTAAGAAAGGCACTCACTGCCCTGGATGTTGAGGATTTGGCAAATCTTGCATCCAAGGCAGGACGTCTAGAGTCTTTGTTCAGAGAGGAAGATCAGCATAACAGGCGTAATAGAGGCCAACATATGGCGAGTATGGGAACAGAAACATGCGACTTTGATTTTAATCAGTCAGAAGAGATGGCAGCCGAAATCCTTTCTGGAAAACCGTATGTATGTCCTAAATTGAAGCCAGTACCAGGATCTGAAGGAACGGAGCAACCGACCTTTGATAGTTCGAAAGCTGATGAAATCTTTGATATCCTATTGACTGATGGGCAGATCCGTATTCCAAAGGGCCAAAGACTTGCCACTAAAGAAGAAATCAAAGGGAGACCATATTGTAAGTGGCATAATTCTTTCACACACACTACAAGTCAGTGTACTCATTTTAGGAAGGAAATTCAAAAAGCCATCAAGACAGGTCGGCTCAAATACATCACTTTAGGTGTAGACCAGCAACCATTTCCGAAAGTAACAACTGCAATGGTTGACATCCAACCAAGTTCGGAAACAAGGAAAAGTTCGGTCAATAGTGGACAAACAGGGGAGCAAACTCAGACAAGTCCCGGAAAAAAGAAAGGGAATCAGCCAAATAGCAGCCGACCGGAAGAACGACTCAAGGTTGTTGAAAGGCCAGTCGCTGAAAAATGGGACCGTCCAGACGGTTCTTTTAACGTGGAAGTGAAGGAAAAGGTTTTAGTGAGAGACCACCCGACCAGAAAAACGGGTTCAGTCGGGAACGATTGGGCTCGAAATAAAAAGCCTTTACCCGTTGATATAGATCCTCGTTTCCCAGGTATGAATCGTACACAGATTCGCAATGCCAAACGCAGGTATGCTGCAAAGTATGGGAAACGAGTTCCTGCAGTGCAACAAAGAACCGACGAACAAAATGCGGCCGACCACTTGACAGGAGATCAGTCCATTAGAGTCTTTACAGAACAAACGACCGACGAGCAGGGAGCGGCCATTCAGTCTCCAATAAGTCGGTCCAGTCGGGTCTGGTCAGGAAAGCAACCGAAGGACGGATTAGGAGCTTCCGACTATACCAAAAGAAGTTCGTCGGGACAGGGGAAAGGTAAAGGAATGGCAGATGAAATAATTAAAGGTTTTAGATGCCAACATTGTGAACGGATCAACATCAATCCATCTCTGGAAGAATTTCGTATTGAATCCTTGACGGTTCAATCTCGAAATGAGACGAAGGAAGAAGCAGAGGAAAATTCAAGATCTGTTAAATCTCGTCTGGGACCACGAATCCCTTGTCGAATGTCAGAGGTTAACCAGATGAGTGATGAACCGACGTGGGCGAGTCTGGTAGATGATACTATGGACGAACCTTTATGGGCATTCTTGGCAGATGGCGAATTAGAGGAAACAGAGTGGGCAAAGATTACAGATTCTGAGCCTCAGTCGGAAGCACCTTCAATTGTGTTTCCTCCTATTCCAGAGGGTGCGAACTCCCATTTGAAACCCCTGTATGTTAATGCTCACATTTGTGGGAAACCAATCACAAAGGTTTTCGTGGATAATGGAGCAGTCTTTAATGTTATGCCATTGAAGACTCTCAAGAAGCTAGGGAAAGGGATTCATGATCTGTCCCCTGTGGAATTCGAAATGACAAGTTTTACAGGGCAGCCGACCAAGCCTGAAGGTATGATGGTTGCCACAATTGAGGTCGGACCAAAGAAAATTTCCACTGTTTTCTTTATTGTGGACGCAGATACTACATACTCTCTTTTGCTGGGACGAGATTGGATTCATGCCTCTC